CAGTTTTGAAGATTTTTAAATAAGTATTTTTCATTACATTTTCATGCATTCAAAATAAATTACTGGAAGGTGAAAATCTTTTTCTAACTTTCTCCATTTATTGATTTGTAAGAAAGTGTATATTTTAATTAAAACTACTCTGAGAAAGACAATAAAGAGAAAACAGTGTACATACACATGGCTGTGTATTTGGAAGCAGTGTACAATATTTACCACTGTTAGTCATTTTAATGAAGTAGTTTGAAAATAAGTAACACTTTGCTTGCTAATAACAGAAAAAAATAAAGTTCACTATAGGAAGCTTGCAGTAAATTTATGTCTTAACCATAACAGGTTTCTGGCTGCAATTTATCTTCTGTTAAAGCAATATTTAGGTAGCTGAAGCTAAATATTTTAAATTTGTACATCATACAATTTAAGCCCCTAAATCCTCCTGCCTTTCAGTTAAAACTTAGTGTAGTACAAAGTTGACTGCATGAAGAAAACCCAAGAAAATGCTAAAGCTACATAATTAACATTTTGACTTCACTTGTCTTTTAAAAGAGTACATGCTATAGTTCCAATAAACTATTGAAGGGTCAAGAATTGGTAATACAAACTGTAGTTTACACACATCAAATTATTTGAGGAGCTCTCCTTCCTGTAAATCCACAGGATTAAATGTCACTGAATTAGAAATAGGATTTCAGAATATATAACAGTTAATGCAGATATCTTAATTAAATGTCTGCAAAAATTCAAAATGCTGCTAAATTACGACCAAACCAACAAATTAAAGCTTGCTTTCTCCTATTTGAAGGACTCACCTTAGAGAAGTTACGATGTATTGTTTCATTTGTGATTTATCTTTAAAATGTGTAGAAAGGTTTTGTATTTTCGTATTATTTTACATGAGTAAATTTGTGGAGGATTCCTGCTCTAAGCATCTGAACAAATTAGCTGTTTCATTTGTCAGGAACAGTGTTTATAGAAATCACTTAGAATTCCCATCCAAGCTTGCTTTAAAACACTCAGAAAGTGATGTTGCAACATATTAAAAGCTCAGTCTGAAAGGTCTGAATTTTACTGCCACTACAGAAATAAAACAACTTCCCTCCTGATACTACGTATGTCCAACAAGTTGCATTTATGACACTGCACAGACTGAAGAAGCAGTCCTATCTTTTGCAGAAACCAAGTCCATTTATCAAGAATATTCTGTTCTAAAGAATTTTGGCTGCCACTATGAGCCAAACAAACGAGAGTTTCTCCCATTTGTGGAAAATAATAGTTTAAGTTACACGAGGAAAGTGTCACCGAAAAAACAGGTGTCAACATATTTAAGATGTTAAAAGATCTGAACATGTAGGATGGGTTCAGAATTGGGCAGAGGACTGCGTGTATCACTGGGTGATTTGCCGAAAATGTCCTACAGGTCCTTCCAACTACAGAGACAGACTGTTACACAGGAAGCTTTTATGTGGTCTTTAAACAGCTAACACGAGCTACCTTCACTGCACCTTCCACTACAGGTATTCAGCGATCATTTGTCCCCAGTTCCTATCATCTAGAAAAGCAACACAGACAAACCTTGTAAGAGAACTCTATTTTCTCCAGACCAGTGTTTTACCTTTCTTGCTTGTATTACAGAAAGTGTAAATTAATTATGTACAACATAGACATTCAAAATACAGATTGGCAATTATATAACCCACAGAAAATAAAAACAAAACGAGAATGAAGGATGCATGTGGGTAATTCTAGATCTAAGAAACAGACCATTTTATTGATCATCGTAACATCACAGATTTAGGAACCACTCGTTCTATTTATGAAATGAACACAAATGCCTGAAATCTATACTGTTGGAAGTAAAGTGTCTCTTGACAGAAAGTGGATACTTTCCATTCATCACATATAAAGGAATTCAAAGTTCCTGCATTGAACTTTAACTATTTTTAGTGCTAATGCCTTATTTTAAGATTTAGGGTGACAGCAGTTAACTTCTAAAACAAACACACAAACATTTGTTTGTACCCTTTGGATCACAAGATTTAGAAGTTGTTATCACTCTAAATATCTTGCCAATAGCCTCAGGTTACCAATTAAGGACAAAGATGCATTGGTTGATAAGCTTCCCCCCATCTACTTTACAGGCGTTATGTTTTGGGAAAGAATGTTATTTTTAGTAATATTTATTGGAGTGATGGTAAGGACAAATGCACTTAGAGCAGTGTCAAAACACAAAGAGGCAAGAGAAAAAAACAACTGAAAGTAATCTGGAATTTTAGATAGGCCCTTGAAATAGAAAGCTGAGTAAGGCCTTATTTCTCCTTTCATTCATTATTATGATAATTTTTGTGTATCTCTGGTCTGGATTGTGCTACATTGCGCTTCATTTCCCACTATTTCACCTTTAATCACAGCTTTAAAAATGAATCCACCTTTAAAGTTTCTCTCAGCACTCTATCCACAATGCGCCCTTTCTTAAAATTTGGATTGCTTTCTCAGTCCTGATGAAAATACATGGATATAAATTCCATTTCCCATTTTTTTCTGCTGGTAGACAAATAGAAGAGAAAGGCAAACCGCAAGTAAGCATTCACAGTAGATTTTCACTAAGTCTGTTAACTCGGTTTGTGAAAGAACTGTATGTTAATCAAGGAAGAAAGTTAAGAGTCAACAAGGAAAAATATATAAAGACACCTGGCTAACAGCAAGGAAAAGAACAAACTGCCATAGAAGCTGAACATGATGCTGCATTTCAAAAAGCAAATGCCTCAGACTATCAGCATACCTGAAAACACTGAAACTCTGATCAGAACCTATCTTGCACTTAATACAGCTGGCTAAAGAATAAAGCCTTTTCAAGATTCTGAAGGGGAGGTGGCTGCTCATTTATTTTGTGTCTTTCACTTTTCTAAAGCCATCCAGGATGAGAACCACCTTCTCCGATTTTATATGCAGCCATTCTGAGATACAAATATTGCCATATTCATTGTCAGTGGCGTATTAACTTTGAAACCTGCTAATTGCTCATATGTCAATATCAGATGGGATTTTCAAAGGTACTTAGGCAATTAAGCAGTCTTATGATTCCAACATGCCCCACTGAAAGTCCAAGACATTTAACTACTTCAGTGCTGACCACCTTAGCAGAAACAGGCCAACCAATATAGCTGTTCTGCAAATTTCCACTAGTCTAAACCTCCTTGAAACTTCCAGCTTCCCTTTCTTGGATATGGCTATAGTCCACTTTAGTTAGTTACGTATTATGTATTTATGCTGATAATAAGGAGGTAAGGAGATGCTGTCATTTCCATTTCAAATGTCATGTCAAGCCAGGCAGACCAGCATACAGGAGACGCATGCTAACCCCACCAGCTGCAGGCTAACCCTGAATAATTTAACAATACAAGTATGGTTTGCGAATTAAAAATATCTGTGACTTGCCCAGAATAAAAAGCAGGAGTTTAGCATATGTTCTTTTAAATAGCAAAATAAACACTGATCATATTATTCACATTTAAATAAGATGCTCCATTTTTAATCGGAAGGAAGTAATTATAAAGTTTCCAGCCTGCGATGCCACAACACGCAGACTTTAGGGAGTTGCTCCAAAACTTCTTAGGCTTTATACACAATCTCACAAATACTCACGCAGGAGGTCGTGCTCGGGAACAGCTCTCAAATCATGACCTGCAGAGTGCTGGCCAGTATCTGCAAGAGGCTGCAAGACTACTTGATACTTCTCACATTTGAGCAGCTCACTAACACGTATAGGGTAACTTTGAAGGAAGGCTCAAAAATAAGAGGTTGACATTGTCTAGTGTCTGCTAGCAGAACATCCAGGACATGAAGAGAATGAAATAAGGCAGTGGTTCTTCTCTGGAGGGGCTCCTGCAAGCTGCATGGGTTAAGCTACAAGAAGTTCAAGGAGGGTTTTCAGCTTCTCTTTACAATGACCACCTGCAGCTCTCTCAGCTGGGCTTACTACTTGACTAGACCTTTCACCAGGCTTGGCCACCCTTGCTACACAGGCCTTAAAGAGATGGGAAAGATAAACCTACATGGAAAGGCAGAATAAATCCTTGGTTTAATGTAATATACTAAGTAGACAAGGTATCTGGAAAAAAAATATGTGTAAAATACAGCATGTAGGTATATTTTGATACTCTGATTTTATTTACTGCAGAAATGACTAAATAAAATTTGCCTAGGTGAAGTGATCATACATTTAAAAAAAAAAAGTTTTGAAAACAAGGTTTTATAATAATAAATCTAAAACATCCATAAATATCAAACTAGCACTACTGCAGGAATACTACAACATCACTGGGTACATACACAACAATAAGAAAACCCAATCTAAATGAACAAATTCTGCTATTTTTGGTCAAAAAAAGGAAACTCTTCATCATACTAAGTGTTCTGCTTTTTGAGATATGCTAATTCTAGAGCAGAAGAGTTCCTTTTTTGCCCAGCCTCCAACTATTTTTGCGAGTCTCCTTCTCTGGAGATCTTCCAAACCCGCTTGGATGCAGTCCTGTGCCACGTGCTCTAGGTGTCCCTGCGTATGCAGGGGGGTTGGACTAGATGATCTCTAGAGGTCCCTTCCAACCCTAAGCATTCTATGATTCTATGATTCTATGAAAACAAGGTTTTATAATAATAAATCTAAAACATCCATAAATATCAAACTAGCACTACTGCAGGAATACTACAACATCACTGGGTACATACACAACAATAAGAAAACCCAATCTAAATGAACAAATTCTGCTATTTTTGGTCAAAAAAAGGAAACTCTTCATCATACTAAGTGTTCTGCTTTTTGAGATATGCTAATTCTAGAGCAGAAGAGTTCCTTTTTTGCCCAGCCTCCAACTATTTTTGCCCCAGGCAGTTAAAGCCTGGACATATTATCTGAAAACTAATATCAGAATAATCCCTGTACAAATCTCTAATTTATTAATACAGCAGGTAAAACTGAAAAATATTTAGCATGTGACTCTCCTTACCTTCAGCACAGCAATGAATGGTACAAAATTAGCTCTCTGAAGTCCATTTTTATATAGGTCTAAAAGAAAACAAAATAAACAAACAAACAAAATCAGTAACTGTTTTGTTAGCCTTATTAACAATGGCAGCTTGTCTTTTAGCTTAGGAAATAAAGCTGGGTTGCTACAGAGATAATAAATAAAACAGAGAGAAAGGAGAACTTATATTGGATTTCTGTTCTTTTGCTGTATGAAAATTCATTACACTCTTAAGGACAAAAGGAATATCCAAAGAAAGTCTCTAAAGAGAAATAACTGCTTTTAGAAAAAAAAAAAAAAAGGATAGCATCTGTTTTAAAATAGGATATAAAAAATATAATGCTATGTATATGGTCAAACAAGCACAATTGCTAAATCCCCAGTATCTGGTCAGCATGAGGGTAGGGAGAGGTAGGAAGGGAAACATAATTTGAACTAAAAATAAATTGAACTTCTAAACTTGGTATTATCCCTATTCAGTGTACTGTAGTTAATTCTTTTACTTTCTAGAAGTTCTACTGCATACAACCTTTTTCCAAAGCAAGAAAAAAGGTTTTCCCTAGGGCAAACAAAAACTAAACAAACACATTAACTTAGGCAAAACTGTTCAAAACATAGGCTGAATACAAAAAGCAATAGGATGTTATGCAACAAAATACAGATTTACACTTTAATCCATATTAATAAAACACAATTTCCAAAGCAATATTTTATATCTTGTTTATCTCCAAATTTTATACAGTTTGAAGTTCCTTTTGCAGGAAACTACCTGGCTGCCTAGTACATTCATGACAGAATGACTTCTTCATCAACAGTTTTATCATTTAAACTGCACGATCTGCTTCATTAATCCTAGGAAGCCTTAGAAAAAGGCAGTAGGGTAGCTACTGCTGACAGGGATAATAAACAAGAGAACAGAAACATCTGGCTATAAATCTCCATAAAAATTCCCTACAAAAAGTACAGCAGATGATTAACACCATAATGCCCAAAAGCTACAACTAGGTTAAGCTTTCCATGCTCTGATAACATATCAGGGTGGACAAAGGATACTGTTGTGCTTGAGGAACCAGGCCGGCACCTCCCAAATGGTTTGCTGGAGCTTGGACATATGTGCAGAAATGTTCAGGAAAATTAATAGTGAATCTGGTTGTGAATCTTAGTTAATAAAAAGGGTGTAGGAAGCCACAAAGCATTCACTGCTCTACAAATCACTACAGGTATAAAAGCAGTGATTGACTGCACACTTACTTGCAAAAAATCATGAACATGGAACAGTACCATAAGAAAATCACTTTTCTTAGTTCTTCTTGAAAATAAGGCTGTGATTTTTGTATGCTGTCCCTATTTTGTGAAGATGAGGAAGAAAGACACTGTTGTTTGGGTGGAGAAATAAGGCCAGGATTCATTAAACACTGCACCTCAGCACTTCCCCTCATATTCCACTGTGGATGAAATTCAATATGATTAGGTATCTCAGTAAAGATCATCAAGTGCCCACAAACGCTCTGAAGAAAACACCATTTTTCCCTTTGTACCCACAGAAAGTAAATCTCCTGACACGATCCTAAATTTTGATACAAAATATGGCATTAACCCAACACCTAACCTAGGAGGTTTTCAGATGCACTCCATGAGCACACGGGAGGATGGAAAAGGGGTAAAAACAGGCAGCGACTGGTGTCTGGACTGCAACGTTCAGCTCTAGAGATGCCTTTCTTAACCTTCTCTGTTGGGCAGCTAGGACAAGTAGATGTCTTTCAGGGTGACACACTACCTTCATAACCCCCCCACCATAAGTAATGGTCACAAAGTGATGCCCTAAATTAAGATGTGGGACACAATCCCCAACCTGCGATAAAAAAATATATTTCCTGAACTTTAAAGAGTAATGTGTCAAAAAACACAAAGACTGTGCTCAACTGAGTAAGGTACCCATGTCAGGTTTACCTGCAGAAGACCCACCTATAGCAGTTGATGATTTTAACTTGATTGCTTAAACAAGAAAAATAAAGGAAAATAAAATGATGTTTCTTTTGTTGTTTTTGTTGGTTTCCCATCTTAAGGTAACAACAATTAAGTATTTTCTTTTTTAAGAGTAATAAGAGAGCACGTTGTAAGTCTGCAATGATGCTCTTGTACCAAGTTAATTTACTGTAACCCTTCAGTATTTTATAACACTGCAGATTAGTTTCCAAATGTCTGCAAAGAAGTTGCACACAATTCATACATTATCCTAACTGTTAATACTACTCTATAGCAAACATTCCCTTCATCTACTAAAACCATATAATAATATACTCTTGCTTGGTTAAACTCACATAGAGACCCGGGGTGGGGGTGGAGGGCTTATAAAAAGATCTACACCCTCTTATCTAAAAATATTGTTAGAAATGAAAACAACTCTCCACCTAAGTAATTCCCAATGAATGATCTCAAACCAGGCTGTGAGAATGGCATCCTGATGAGGGGTATGTTTCTCCCTTGAGCTGGTGGATAAAGTACGCTAGTCTCCTAGCTACTGACCAGGGGAAGGAATGTACTCTGTCTCATTTCCCCTCTCTCCTGCTGATTTAATATAATCTTTGCCTACCCTGGAATACACCCAAGTCAGAGGCAGTTTTTCACCACTCCTTCACTCCCTTGTCCCCAGTACCCTCCCCACTGGTTTGGACAGAGTACAGAAGACTAGAAAATGCAGAAGGACAGGGGGGAGGAAAACATTTCTGGAGTTGAGAGGTCTGTGATATAGTGCTAACGCCTTCCTCCTTAAGGAGAGGGCATGATTGGGAATATGTCAGATTCTTAAGGACTCGAGAGTTTGCTGACATTAAATATTGGATTTTTTTTTTTTTTGTAAAACTACTTTGCAAGAAACTGAGTTTCATTGTATTTGGATAATACCAGCAGCATGTTTGTTTTTACCTTCTGGCGGCCTGTTAGATGTTGCCACAACGACAACCCCATTTTGGAACAGATTTTCAAAAAGCTGTTTCAGAATCATGGCATCAGCAATGTCAGTGACCTATGAAAGACAACACATTTGTTTCATCTTGCTTTCAGCTTCTGCTGCAATAGATCTGCAAGTGGCTTTATAGCTAGAAAAAAAACTGCTCGTTAGTGAAAGACGAAGAGAAAGACTCTAATTATTGCTTGGGAAGAAAAAAAATAAGAGAGATAATTAATAAGCAGTGAATGCACCACAGTCTTTTAAAACTTGCCTGCTCTTTAATACAGAATTCCACCATTTCTTTACCAACTGCTAAATGATTCCATGTTAACTTCTATTATAAAACTACAGGTGGGAGACATGGAAAACAGACCTAAACATTTAAGAGACCTAATTAATTAGAAACAACATGAAAAAAAAAGAGAAGACACAGAAAGAAAATAGACATCAGCTGTTTTACATTTCCATTACCTTTGAGGCAAAGGTTTGCAGAGGTGAATTTAAATGGTTATGGGACTTTAGAAATAAAGACAAGTAGCCAACTATACATAATCAGCTGCTGTTGAAAATAGAATGATATGACATAGATACTATTGTGTGATTGTTGCAAAAACAATTCAACAGATGGCCCATCACAAAAATAAGCAATTTCATTGTTCTTTTTAAGTGCCTTCTATTACTGTCCATGAATAATCAAAAGGCACGGCAGTCACTTCCAGCACAGTCAGCCTCTTCTAACCTTCAGGCACAAAACGCTAACAAAAAACAAAAATGGGTGGGGCAAGCAATATTACAAAAAGATCAAACTGTAAGCAATAACATTTTTTTTAAAAAAAATCCATGTTTAGATTAACTAACTTGTATTACCATACCAAGAAATAAAAAGAAGGCAAAACAAAAAACATTATTAAGAAATGAGAATATAACAGATCTGTCTGAGCAGAGACATAGTTACAAGAGCAATTTATATTTTACAGGAGTTCACCAGCTAAGATGAGAGTTCCTAGTAACGAAGCCTCTCTCCTATCATTCTTCTTGTTTCTCTTGCATTCTCCTTGGTTATTACATAGCCACTTGTTGCATTTTGACTTACCACGACCCCAGTTCTGAAGAAGGGAATTTAAAAAAAGTGCAGAGAGTTATATGTGTTCATGACACACAAAAATCTGCTGGACTGCTCTGCCTGTGCCTGTTTAGATAGATATATCTTACAATGCTTAAGCTAGGGAAACACTTCAATCAGTATATATTTTTTTTAAAGTCCCTCCTATCCCTTTCTCATTTTTAAATGGCCTTATCAAAAAAATTTAATCCTACACCAGGCCTTTGATTCCAAACTCTTTGTTGGCCTTGAGCCTTTGGGGGACATACTAGGACAGAGAAGACTTGGGTTACATTTTTGATAACTACTTTGAAAACTGTAAAGTCCATGAAGAACTTTAGGTAAATACCAGTTTCCTTCTTTCTAAGATTTATTCTGGGTTGTTCTATAGAATACATTAACATGGATATTTTTTTCTTTTTCAAAAATAAACTGCTTTCCAGGATCAGTAACACACTCAGATTTGTGCATCTCTGATTAGCAACATCTGATCTTCCAAAGCACATGCATTGATTCGCTAATGTACATGTCTAATGTAGCTGTGCCCATCTATTGATAAATTTTAATACTCAGGAGAAATAAATTGCTTTAACAGTTGCCTTAAAGAAAAAAATCAGGATATATGCACACGTAAAGGCAACAGAACTTCTTACATCACAAAGCAAACCAAACAAGTCAAGTTTTAAAAAAAGATGACAAATTATTTTGTTACAAACATTTTTGCTTAGAAAAATGCAATAAGGCACACAAGTTTCAGAAAAGCAGGAGTGGAAGAATGTTATCACTCATGTAAAAGAAAACAATGAACGGAATTTTCTTACTAGCGAGAACTGCTATTCGATTCTGAATTCTAACATTTTCATTGTATCACAAAAAATTAACTCTTGAAAGCACTGTCAAAAAGCAATGGCCATTTTGAGTACAGGGATGCAAATTCATACTCTTTTGCCCTGCTACAGTACAGGAAGGGTAGGAGAAGTCTACAGCGTAAGCGAGTAGGTGGCAGTACCTAAATCATTTTCACTTCTCACTTTCCCCGCCCCCCGTATCCAGTGTTCATTGCAACAAGGAACAAAAGCAAAGGCTACAAATTACCAATAAGGAGAGCTCGCCAATGGAGAAATGTCATTAGCATTTAAGAGAAAAGAGTTTTATGACCTAGTGCTGCTTTCCATTATGACTTACTTAAGTAAAAAAATAAATAAATAAAAAATCTAATAGTTAATTTACATGTGTAAGTGCTTGAGACTCAGTCATCTGCTGATTGGTGCAGTTCCATGTAATGAATGACAAATACAAGCATGTATTATCAGTAATTAGTATTAGCACAAAAATAAGAGCCTAATTTTTATTAGAGGCTTTTAATAGCCTTGCAGGTTAGTAAAAGCTCTCTAAATTGTAGCCCGCTTAAGTCCAAGTGATACTGATAGTGTATAAATACTAACACTGTTTGATCATTCAGTTACCAAGAGGTAGGAATTCTATTTTTATTATCAAAACTAACAAACACAGGCTTCAGTCATCCTGCAAAATTACAGTTGCTAACTACCTGTGTATAGTTATTTGATCGCCAGACAGTAACTAGTCTCATTTTATTGGCCAACCTCTATGTTTTGAAACATCAACATTATAATTACAAATGGTATAATTCTAGGGTGCCTTTTGGTTTTCTGTTTTGTTTTGTTTTTTCTAGTGAGGACAACTTTTTAGAATGGCGTAAGAGTTCTGCAGTTGAAAAACAACAAAAACCCTGTTGTAAAAGATGCAATATCAATCAGTAAGAAGCATCAATGCTTTCATAGTCTTAACACTCAGGCAGGCACTGATGAAATAACTGCTTCGGAATGGAAAAGTTCAGAGGTTTAATACTGGCACTGAAATCCTGGCTACCAAACCGAATTTGCAAAAAGAAACATTTAAGACTTTTTTTCCTTTAAAAAATATTTTAGAGCACACAAAACTATTTCAAGAAGTACTGAAATATTTTCCTTAGTCAAAAAGTCAAATAATTAACTCTCTTTGACAGTATTAAAGCTATATCCTTAACAGTATGATTCACCTCAAAGTACTACTTCTCCCTTTCACAGTTCCGCATTTGGTTTCCTCTGAATTATAAGCACTAACATTCTTTTTTGCTGGCACTAGTACAGATAGACTTGTCTCCCTGTTTAATTTGAAAATAAATAAATTCTGCTAATTCTCTTGTTTTCGATGTGTATATGAAAGAAAAAATCAAGTGTTTCAAGTAAGTCTCAATAGTTTCTCTGGTATCTCCTCAGTACACAAGTATATTTATTTCCAAGCAAAGAGAAACTCTAGCCTGACTTTCCAGCTGTCAAAGCAGACAGTAGTTTTAAGCCCAAGTCAGAGTGCTGCATGTTCTGACTCTCCAGCTCTTTCTAGTTTCATTTTAATCCAGTAATTCTTTAAATATAAGAGTAACCCAGGCTGTAGCGAAATCTGACCAGTATATCCACTGTGAAAATCAACTGGAGAAGTTCAGAATTAGAAATGGCTCTTTATTATTGATGGCAATTTTGTCACCGTCTCAGCTGCTTTTCCAGCCACCGCACTGTTTTAAGCCTATTTAAGGAGAAGGTTTCTTAGCAAAGGTATTGAATTAGGAAGAAGTTCCAGGGTGATGGTGCTTGATGTACCTCAAGCGTGTCAGCAGAGGGAGCAGGAAACCAATTTTGGGGGAAAACAAATTACCAGAGTCTCCTTAGAGGTGACCAGACAACGGTTTGGAAATGCTGCAACAGCACTGTATGAAAGCAGGAGGCATTTAAACAGGAAAAGAAGCATTTAGGCTATTACGTAAAACTACTGCCAGCAAAGATGCCACTTTGTACCGTCCAAGCATTTGATATTATGACAGTTAACACTTCCCTTCCTTCCCCTCTCCTCACCCCCTTCAAAAAACTTCCTGTTTCTTAATAAGTACAGCTTCTGCATTTGGATTTAACGTCACTGGATTTTTGCCCGAAACTTGTTCTTATGAACTATTCATAAACTGATGCACAGGCTTTAAAAATAATAGTTGGAAGACATGAATTGCTCTATGCATTGTGAGAATGTACTTAGTCAACTTACAAAATACATTTTTTCTACTGTTGACAATTAAAACAGGACTGCAGTGTCCCTCTGGACTCCAAAATCTCAACTGCTTAGAGTTGCCAAATATCTCTAACCTCTTTCCTAAAATAGTCTTACAGGGAAGTTACATGCTTAAATTTTGGCATGCCCTTAAAATTCATGAGATGTATAAAGCAAATGAAACAACCAAGCTGCTTGGGCAAAAAGTATTTTAACCTATTTTTAGTTTTCATATTTCCTTCAATAAAAGTTTCTTGAAAGCCACATTAAGCTGATACAACCAGGCAGAGACATGCCAAAGGCCCCAACAGCTCTGGGAAAGCATGTAGGTTGAATTTGCAAGTCATCTCCACGTCCTTAACCACAATAAGCTGAAGTTATAACAACTGCAGCAACAACCAGATGTGCCAATCTAGTATCAGGCCACTATCATGCTGACCACTGCCCTAAACTACTCAGGAGCATCTCACCCAATTCCCATTACCCTCTGCAGAGGGCAGTGACTATTGTGATGATAAATGAACAGACTGTAGACAGATTTATACAGATAACTTGCAGGTTATCTGTAAAAAGTGCTTCGTTCAAACCTGCAAAATTGCTTTTATTCTTGAACATCTGGCCAGTATTTTAAACTGCTATCATAGTAAAAACAAGCATCATACTTAACGTTTATAAGTAATTTTATAGAGTTTCCCTGACACCAAAGAGTAAGCTTTGATCACTTACCTGAAATTCATCAAAACATAACAGAGAAGCTTCTTCACTTATTTCCTCTGCTACTGGTGCAATTGGGTCGTATGATTTGGCCATAAATCCTGCTTTTCTTTTTGGCAAACTCTGCTTGAGGCGATGTATTCCTAAATGGATAAAATAGAAAAAAAATGAAAAATGTGTTTCTTTTGCAAAATGTTCAGGTAACAAATAAAAAGTTATTCAATTCAGTAAAAATGGCAAATTTAGTATAACTTCAAGAGGACAAACGTTAAGTTCTCAACCACCTCCAGATAACTAATAAATACTGACAGATTCTGTAATTGGTATTCCCCTGTTTAGAAATAGGTAAAAAAAATGCAGGTTTTTATGCTAAACAATTATTTTATTTTACAAAGATATATATTACAGTTTTACCTTATTCCAATTCATTACCTTAATTTCAGTATCTGGTCAAAATTTGATCCTTTATCTTACTCTCCTCTGTGAAGATGAAGAAACCTTTTATAGTGTTTACAAATCAAGAGTGCAGTTCTGTGCACTGCACGATTGAGAGCACATTTAGAGCGGATTTAACTAAAAGAACTCAGATGAAGGAACACATTTATATTTTAAAATATACAATAAGGCGATACTCGTATAAAAAAAAATACATACACACTTTATGTCATAAAATGCAGTGTGACTAAAAATGAGTGTTTCATAAATAAAGGTCCTGCAGTAAGACCTCTATCTAGTGACTATCTAGCTTTACCAAGATAAAATGGAAGTAAGAGTACAAATGACAAAAGAATCTTAAGTGACACAACAAAGATTTTTTTAAAAAAAAGACAGCAGTAATGGTTGAAATTGTTTGCATCAATAAAATTTTTCCCAGAAAAAAAAATGTAGCTGTTTACACCTGTAAATCCCTGCATTACTTAGTGATTCCAAAATATTTTCGAATAAAAGAATTTAGAGACTGACAAAACTTTTAAAAATATCTAGAATAGTATCGCAGGCAATGTAAAGTGCCTTGCTGATCCATTTAAGTTCAGCCTGTCAGAAAGTTTTCTGATACTTGTGATCAAATTCACTCCATTTTTCTCAAAATTACTGACATATTCTGAAGTTGGGCACCACAGAACAATTCTCCTTGGCTTTTATGATATTTAGTTACTGGTTATTCAAACAGCACAGCTTGAACTTGATCTTTGCTGTCTGACATGCAGCTCAGTCTAGCTAAGATACTTTCCGTGATTAGGTAATCACTTTGTTGTGACAGATTTAGCGGCACCAGCGCCGCACAGAACTAACAATTAATCCTCATCTCTAAGAGCATTTCTGCAGTTCTTCCAGGTATTCTCAAGATGCAGACTCATCATTTTTCATTTCCTATTTCAAAAACCATTTTCCCATTCTTCTCTCAGCATTTTATCTTCTACTAAAGAAGCCAATGCTTTCCTCTGCAGTCTTCACAACCTTTTTCCCATGATCAATGTGAGTTACGTGTTTTTTTTTAGAAAAAACAAACAACAAAAATCCACATGAGCAGCAACTGAGACAGAAGCTGTACTTTCCTATATTGGGTATGCTAATTCTTCGGTGTTTTTTTGAATTCCTTTTGATTTTTGATCCTTTATCTTGTGCCTGTTCTATCTGGTTTACTATACATTAAGTCTGTCACTATCTGCTGATCCTTTCAATCAAAAAGTATATCCAATATTGTAGGCAAAACAGTTGATCTTAAGCTTTTCTATCAACACAAAGCTCTTCAAAGTGGAGAGAAGGCAGCTTTGGGGTTACCCATGTTTTAATTATTTTTTTCCATCCTCCTTATTCATGTTCTCTTTTCTCACATTTCTTAATCTGTACAGATCACAACTATCCCTTGGCAACAAACCAAGGAACATAAAGTATTACTAAAACCTAAAATGTGAAGTAGCAACACTTGATTTTTTTCCATATAAACAAAACAAAAACTCTTTCTAAACTTAGATGAAAAGAAATATTGAGAAAGGTAGCAATGCCTGAAATAACATAACCACTTGATAAGTCACATGGGAATCAAAGAAATGAGTCCTTGTCTCTGAAGCACTGATTTAGTTGTCTCTGAATTTCAATGCAACACAGTAAAATTATAAGAAAATGATTATAATTATATGGCCTTTGTGATAGCATTATGTTGCTTTGCACACTCATTTTATCACTCAGTTTTAGGAGCTGTCTTCTTTAGATTGAGTGTAAACTAACAGGTAATGGGAGAATGTTTGGCTAAAGAATTAATCCTAAACTTGCATCCAGTTTTCTATACAACCAGGTATATGGAAATTTTTAGAAGAGATTCTTCAAAAATAATATCCAATTAACACTTATGTCAGGATGACCAAAAATGCTGAAGTTCTTTTTTTTTTTTTTCTTTTTAATTTAAATAAAGTTACATGGAATTAACATGCATGGAAGAACAAGAGGGGCTTTCTTCATGGACACCATATTTCATATAATTCTTGCAAATACCAGTGTCTGCACTTACTCTGGTGTACATCTAGCATGAAGCCATGAAAATGGACTCTCTTTTTCCTCTCTACTTCTAAGTGAGAATAGAACATGTCCATCACCATTGTCTTTCCTGTGCCTTCAAATAAACAAAAAAGAAAACACACCCAACAGGTAGTTAATTTTAAAACAGTATGTACTGAAATACAATAAAGATTGTTGATTCACTTTGAACTAATAAAACCACATCATTTTGCTGAATATGCACAAGACCAGATTATTTGCAAAGAAATGTTACATTTTATGTTTGAAAATGTGTAACAATCACATTTTTATTGTTTTAAATACTTGATTTATCCAGAATTGGCCCAAAGGTTGCAAAAGAGACTGCCTCTTCTTCTAAAAAACATCCTTAGTCCTTCCTTTTCAAAAGTGCATTCTGCATTGTTGCAATTAGAACACATAAACCCTTTCCCTGCCACCCTCTTATATCCCAAACCTTTAAGTTGTATTCTCAAACATCGGAGAGTGGGTAACATGTTTGAAAAAAATATACATATACCAATCTAGACCAGTCCAACAGTTTCCAACTTCTAACTGCAATTGCACTACATAATATATCATATTCTGAAAGAAAAACACCCTGGAAAAGTAATTAAACTATGTAATAATACTATATAAACACAAAGCTTTGACATCACTTGGAAGCTGAATAAGCACACATTTACACTAAACTCAAGAGGAATTTACACAGCTGAAGCTTACCAACATCTCCATAGACATAAAGACCTTTTGGAGGTTTGCTCTTTGCAAAGAGCTGCAAAATAAGAGAACAAGAATAAATACTAACATTGGGTATAATAAAAGCAAGCACACGGCTGTGGTAACAAATGAAAATAGCAACATTTAACTGCCTAAGTTAGACTAGCTAGCAAAATAAACCTTGAATGAATTAGGAGCAATGAACTAGCAGGCAATCTGAGGCTGCAACTCCATGAAAATTATAAACATAAGCGTATGCAGTTTTGTTTAGATCAATATATAAATTTGACCATATCCAGTCTTAGTATCCATGCATTTTTATCAGGACAGATACAAAATTACTAAATATTTCCCAATCCATCATCAATGGAATAAACTCTCTTCCCCACTAAGCCATTTCAGCAAACAGCTACACAGGAAAAAAAAAAAAAAAAAAAGATGTAAAATTAAGCAGTATCATAGTACTTGCAAAAAGGATTTAGGTAACAAATATGGCAAAATTGGTAGTACTCCGAGCCCCCTTCCTCTCCACTTTGAATCTCAGATGGAGAATTATCTATGGTTTAAACATGATTAAAAATCAATGCAATCACAGTAAAAATGTCATTTTTCATATATGGAAAGGATTGATTTCAAAAATATGTATTTTATAAATGATATTTTCTCCAGTAAATTGCATTTATCTTGAATGAATACATCTTGAAAATTTTTAATCTCTTAGTCTTACTCAGTACAAATGCTGTAATACCTGACAGTTCAGCTTCTCTATTTTACTTAATAAATATATATGTTTATGGAAACATTCTCATCAGTCTCATGATTATCGCTTTGAATCCCTTCTCTCCCAATAATGGGCAGCCACTCCCAAGTAAAATCCTAAAAAGTAAAGCTGGAAATCTTAACAAAATTCTCATTGATTCATGCAGCTGAACTGACATCTACAAAAATGCTGCATAAGAGTATACGGTTGAAGTGCTGCACTTGGGAGTTCTGTGAGCAGAGCAAAAACAGAAGAAAATTAAAATTACAACCCTCTGGCCTCATTTGGAGCTGGGTAATTGCTAAACAGCCTGAATTTAGAGCACTTTTCAAAATACAGCACTACATTTAAAGCAATGGGGAAGTTAGTCACAAAACAATAATTAAAATATGAAAGAAAATATATGAACAAAAATAGGCCGACAAATGTCTCGGGTCTGTGTGCCTTTACAGTAGCAGTGTATCCAGGAAATATGTAAGCATAGCTCTCATGAAAGATCCACTCATAGATTTAATTTAGAGTTATATTAATAGGATACTCCAAAATTTCTATCATCAATCTGTGGCTGAACAGGGCTTCAGATGTTCTGAAACACTTCCATTAGCAGACATGGCTGCAACTATTTGTTAGTGCTTTAAAATCATAGCAAGACAATCTAATTGATGAACATTTTTGTGTGCCTTTATAAGAGTCTGTGCTCATTACAATTACTAAATGTCAACGTTACATGGCTAAGAAGAAATGCAAAAAAAAAAAAGTATTAGATACAGATATATAAGAATTTCTTTAATTTGAGATTAATAAGCACACAGATGTTTTTATAAGAGCAAAGCCTATTACATAAAATCTATTACATAAAAAGATTACATTAAAATGAAATCATGATGATTAATGAAATGAGCAGTTTCACAAAGAATGACACACAGAAAAACAAAACAACGTTTAAAGTACTGGTTTACCTGTCTTCGTAAACATTACGGAATCAGAACAAGCAGTAATACCTACATTTTTATACAGATGTTTTAAATTTAACCTTATCATTAATTACATTTAACAATCTTGAAGTTCGCCCCTTTTAGGCAGATTTTATTCTCTCTCCAACACCACTTCTAGGAAACAGGTTAAAGAAGAAGGGATTTGGGGGGCTAAAGGAAACAAATACAATGGCTTGGGCTCCATAAAAGTCTAAATCAACTTCTAGCTTACTTATAAAGTGGAATTAGGTTTCTGTGAAGACAGCAATTGCAAAACAATATCTAATTGTTACAAGAAATGGAGAGATACTGGGGCAAATCTGAATAGATTTTCTGTAGCTGATCCCATGTAAAAGCAAAACTTGGTGGCAGAAAAATTCTGACCCTCATTGATCAATTCAAGAAAATTACAGGAAATATCAAAGGAAGATAAAGGAATTATCCAAGCAAAGCTCTCTTGCATTTTACATGCTTCTGTCAGAAGTGATACTGTTGCCACTTGATACTAGAAAAAAATAAAGAATTCATAGAAGCATTCTTGCTTTTATATTTTTCATAAAAATAAAACAGATTGTAGATCTTTAGTACTGCAATGCAGACATGCAATATTGTATATTAGCCCTCCCAGAAATCTTTTATCAATAAAAGAAAATGGAAGAGATAGAATAGATGAATAGAGACAGATGAAATTCATATCCTGCAACACTGAAGTTTTGCACTCTGCACTGCAACCTATCTGGAAGTCTTGCACTTTGTCTGGCCTAATTAACTAGCCTTCTTTTGCAGCCAAAGCAGAAAACCCACACCTACAGGTGAAGATCCATCTATTTTAAACTGCATGTGATTTAACTCCTATATGGCAAAAGTTAGAGGAGCCGAAAAGTAAATAACAATACACGAGAAGCGACTGAAGTTTACAAGTGGATCATGATTTCCAACCATTCTGTGTGACCACAAAGTGGACAAAGCTCTTTTTTTATTATTATTATTTATTTTAGGTAATGATCCTCACACACTAACTGAAGCTTGAAAGCTGCAGAGGTAAACAGCTTATGTGCTCAATCGAGTTTCTTAATCATTAGTGTCTGCTTGCAGATCCTTTTCCCTTTATACATCTGCTGTCTTGCATTTTTGTTTTTTTTTGACATTGGTATCCCCCAGCTTACAGAATTCTGTTCTATTCTGTCAAAACAATTACACATCCCTGTTTCAAAATGTGCATGCTTCACTTTGATCTATCGTGTCAAATACTTCACTTTAAACTCTCATCTCTCAAGATATTACATTGGTCAAAACTTCTAATTCACTCTGGCAACTCCTATTTTTCGTTTTGTTTAATAATATAATAATATCTTCCCACTTCCCCACATACTTCCTGCGTTGGATGCGAAAAGCAAGCAATTCATTTCCTGGGAAAATTCACACACTGATTTGAGAAAATTTCAGGTCAACATACATTTCAATATTAAGTTTGTTAATTAAAATATGCGAAATACAGAAGACAAGGCCCTAGAGAGTAGATTAAAAGACAAAACACTAACAAATCTGCCTCCTCCTCTCACTCTTTCAGACCTCCTTTTCGTTGCTGTTCAGCTGAAGACATTTTCAAGGCCTTGAATGGTGTTTAGAATTGTTCATACCTCTTCAGAACATGACCTCACTTATAATTGAGCTTATTTCAAGTCATTAGTACAGCAACTCAACAACTCTTAAGATGTCCCAATTGGTATTATTCTGAAAAGCTGGAGATCTGAAACATCTACGCAAACTCTCATGGCCTTGAACTTCAATTCAGAGGATCTCAAAATATCTCCACATACAAGGCCATCCTTTCACCAAGTTGAAGAGCAAGGCCATTGTTCATATTTGAGTAATAATTTTGAAAAACAGAAGCCTACTTAATTTGCAACAACAGACTAAACAAATTTATACTAAGCTAATCCTCTCCTCACAAAAACCCCATCATAATAAAATATTTTGTATATAATTAATATAAATTAAAAACATATATTATCATGACAGATATGCTTTTTTTTTCCAGAACAATTTACTTTAGCAAAGTTTTGACTGTTTTGAACTAATGCAAGTTTTTGAAATTAATGCTGAAGTTGTTCTATTGCATATGGTATTAATATCTGTTTCCTAATTTTTACAGCATTTTTATTGGATACAACTACCCAGGTAAAAAGTGACAAAAAGGACAAAGTTAAAAACAAGGCAGAATATTCTTTTAATGGTTCATAATTGCAAGAAATTTCTAATTTTGTAGTAACTGCCATTTTAAGAGAGGTTCCTACATTTCTATCCCAGGGGCTGAAAACTAGTTTCCCTGCTCTCTCTCTCCTTTTCTTCATTGCCACTTCTCAAACACGTTCCTCAATAACAGAACCAAAAAAAGTATATGTTTAAAATGCTGCACAGCACTATTTTTAATTTCTAACAACAAAAAAGATACTAGATTTTTTTGAACACATGAGATTTTGTAATAAAAAGAGGTTAGTCAAGTTTCCAGAAATCTCCCAAAGAACACTGATCTACACAGTATTAAGTATTATTTTGTAATCAAATACAATGTTAACACTTTTATCCTAAAAACAATGGAATATCTATAGGATAATGTTTACCATAATGTCCTAGCAGGTTTGAAAATTGCAAACTACCAAGTCCTCGTGGGAAGAGAGGGCCAATAACCTAATGACCAATGTAAGACTTAACTGCACCCCCTCAGTAGTACTTCCTGGAGATACCTCATACTAGTTTCATGAACTATTTTTCTCATAAGTCTAAATTCTGTTAAACATACACTCACTCCAGTGAACAGTTCTTCCCGCTTCTTGATTAAAAAGCTCTCATTTTGCTCTTCAAAACCAAACCAAGTTTACAAGAGTATCAGAGACCCTGGCCCAAAAAATCACGATAGAAAAGCGTGTATTAAAGATTTGGTGAATGCAGACAGAGGAACATGCCTCTACATCACTATCTACTA